TAATATATATATATATATATATATATATATATATATATATATATATATATATATATATATATATATATATATATATATATATATATATATATATATATTGCTTAGATTAGATTGATCGATGTTATTTGATTTTAATGGAAATAGTAATTTCATAATTGAAAAATGTATTGGCCTTCCTTACTGGCTTTTTTTTGGTTGAAGTAAATTTTAAAAATGATGTAAATCTTAAAAATGATATGTAGCTAATGTAAAATACAATGATGATTAAATTTGATGCTAAAAAAAAATGATAATGATTGAATCGATGACTAAATTTGCTCGAATTTCTAAATTTTGTTCGAAATTTTTAAATTTTGCTTGAAATTATTCGAATTCCTGCTAATGTTAATTCGACAAATATAAATGCATATATTTTCTAAAATGAATGAAATATCTTAAATAAAACTTTGATTCGAATTTTGTACGAAAAGAAAAAAGCAATTTTTTTTGCTATAATATATATTATCTTCATTTTTAAATTGATTTTTTCTCTGAAAAATATTTGCAATTTTCATTTTTTCTAAACCTAACAAAATTGTTCATCTCGAAATACTTTGCCACTGATACTTCTAAAATACAGAATGCAAGTCAAACACAGCTCTTCCCGAATCTTTTTCTTCTTCCGTCGAAATTCAGATTCAGAATTTATCTCCTCCAATAATTGGAAGTACAAAATTCAAAATTTTCTGCAGTTAATAATTTATCGTCCTTTTCCTAAACCAAATAATATAGCTACCATTCATTATGTTGATACGATCGACTGTAATTAACAAACTTTTTGAATTAATTAACGAAATTTCAAGAAAGGCTACGAATATAAAACAATTTCAGCCATCATACAGCATCAGTTATTTATTTATTTATTTTTTCAAATAGAAAACAAAAAAATTTATTTGTTATATATGTGCTTAAATATTTTAGCACCAATATTCTTTGGGTTACTGAAATTTATGTTTGCATTTAGCCTTTTTTTGGCACTATCCATTTGAAGGAAAGAATGTCAAATTGGAATAAAAAAAAAAAAGCAATAAATTTCAAAAATGGAAATTTTCGGAGAGAATTTAGCTGGACTTATTTCTCTTTTTTTAAATCTAAAACACTTATTTTTTCAATTTAAATAGATGATGTTAACCATGACTAATTGAGATAACCAAAAACATTTGTATCCCAAAATTGAAATTTCATTTAATGAAAAAAAGCATGAAACCACCTGATTATCATTAAAATTTGAAATCAATAGAAAAAAGTATGAATTGGAAAAAAAGAATCAAAAAAAAATTTATATTTCAAAATTGAAAATTTTTTACTGTGGAAAAAACACTTCCCTGATTATTGTTAAAATTTAAAATCAGTACAAAAAAGGTCGATTCAATAAATGTCATATAATGTTAAGTGAATTTAAGGATGGCATCATGTAAACTTCGTAATCGTCTCAAAGCAGCAACAAGATCATTGATAATGGTTGTCACCTGTTATCTATGCTCCAATATCATTGATGTTATCATTGCCGCATGGGAATATTTGGATAATGCATCATTATTACAATTGGAAGAATTTTATTCGATTGCAACCGATGTTTCCTCATTACTTACCATATTAGCTGCTAGTTTACGATTTCCTATTTATTTAATTAATGATAAAATTATTCTAAGAGAGGTTAATTAATTTTTCTTTTATTTTTTACTATTTATAAGATTTTTTTTTTGCATACTGATACTTCCATACAATTACATTAATATCTTCTCGTTTTTTCTTTCTTTTATTTATAATCTAATTGAATTAATTTCATATTAATTAATTAGAGAGCATTTGAACATGTAATTGCTGGAAGTTTTATTAGCTAAAATAACTTGAAATTTTTAAATTAAATATTTATAGGTTCGTTTTACTATATGCTTTTTTTATTATCATTTGGCATTCTGTTTCTCAGTACTATCGAAACGATCCAGACGAAAGCATCATTTAAAGGGTGAATTGAAACAACAATTAAATTGTCAAAACAAAACTGTTACGTCTAATTCAACTGATAATGTTACGGTGCCTAAAACACGAAATAGTTTAGGTTAGATTGCAATTAAATTTTATAAAAATGCAATTAAGTTTTAATGAAATTTTAAAGTAAATATTGCATATTATGAGTGGAGAAAATAAAAAAGAAATAAAAATGATGGAAATTTGATTCATTACATCCATTTTAGATCCAAAAATTGGCGCACCTTCACTAATTTACCAATTATTATTTAATATTTTTGCATTTGAAATAATGCATTCCAGGTGCAGTATTCATATCTATAACAGGTATTGGCTTAAATAGAGAACAATCACAACATTCAATTGTTGCGCTAGAAACGGTTCCTGTACAAATTGCAGTCCGGATTCCATTAGCTACCGCAGAACAATCATCTTTTGAAGAAAATGGCGATCATGAAACAATTTGATTATAGTTTTCCAATTTATCGTAATTCAATGAAGCTGAATAGAAATAATGCTATAGTAGCAGAAAGAAGAATTTATCATTGTTGCTCAGTTCACCTTTCTGTATCATATTTCTATTGATCCATATAAAAATTAAGTATAAGATTTCAAAAATGAAATTACTTACAATACATTTAAAATTTCTTATCTGAAATCAAAGCTAATCTAACAGATAAAATGTTAATCTAACAGATAAAATAACAAAAGAGCCTAAATAATGTACGGATTGAATTATGCTGGAACATTTTATGTTCCCATAATTGATCAAATTTATCATATTTTGAAAGTAATTTTAGCCATTTCTATTTCATCCATAATTCATATCTCAATCAGCCATTAATCAGTCTAAAAGTTTTGAGCGAGACGAAAACATATTGTCAATCTCTTGATAGCAAGAAAATAACCAGGTTTTTGAAGTAAGCAACGAACGGTAAACAATTTTATTGTTGATGTTACCGGTTTGAATCATTTGGTTTTAATGATCTGAAACGCTGTTATGTTTGGTTAATTAGTTTTATTGGAAATTTTGATCGTATAACCATAATACATTAAATTTTGTTAGGAATAAATGATCCAAACTGATTGCGGCAAAAATATCGGATAGATCAATCGACATTCATAGTCATTTTTGAGAAGTAGAAGTATAATTAGGTCAAGCTTGCTACTGTAAAGTACTTATTGGAATTTTAAATACTTTGCACATAAATGACTGAAAAAACGGACCGGATGAATGTATATAATTCAATTCCTGAATGGCTTCAAGTTTCTTTTTTGTTTTGCCGATAACACATGGTAAGGTAGAAATTTATTTCAAATTTTCAGATAAAACAAAGTATTAATGCTAAATGAATGAATGAGTCAGAAAAAAAAAGATTTATTTTCATTTTATATTTTAGTAATACCGATGGAGAATGCAGGAATGTACGAAAAGATACCGTATATTAAAATGCAACAAATGAAAGATAAAAGCAAATAAATTCCTTAAAAAAGATCAGGACCTCGTCTTATTGATTGCTTATGACGTGCTAAAATATCCGGACTTTGAGCGTGCATCAACAATGATCGCTTATGTTGTAGGCCAACATCAACCTGAAATTTCACATTAGTATCAAAAAAGGATAAATATTTGGATAGAAGATTAATATCGTTCGAATAGATACAAATTATATATATATATATATATATATATATATATATATATATATATATATATAATATATATATATATA